AGAGGACCGAGATATGTAGTAGTTTTCTTTATAAGTGCGCAAAGGGTATAGTTACAATTTATGTTTTTATGCAAATTAATGGCCAATATTATTAAGAAAATACTTTTCAGTCATTGAATAACTTTATATCTATGTTAATTCATATTTTAAAACAGAGTAGGCTACTATACACGGTTCAGGTATAACTCCAAATGCGCACGCAAATAAACGCACAACTGATTGTCACGAAGACTGACCTGCGCTTAAGTTTCGCTTTTGTTTCTCGTTTTCTGCACTTTATATAAAAGGCAGCGCATGGAGCATGTGCTCTTACTTTGATTAATAACTTTTACGCTTTTGCTACTCGGAGGAGGACGGAGGAGAATTATGGAGAACTTTAGGCAGATTCGTTTGGATACATCTTTTACGCACACGCGCTCCACGCTGGATATATTTACCAATGAGGAGCAGGGTTTTTGCGGAGTTTTGGTTCATATTATGTTTGGCTTAAATGTGACTGGATGTGGATTTATTATTACGCACTTTGGTTTTGAGACACTATAAACGCCCCGCACTGGAGACTGGGTGTTTCGGGTGGATACAAGTTTCACGCTGCACCTTGTTTCTTCAGCTCTTCTGTTTTACCGGTAAGAGACACACTGCACTTAGTTTTGGACATATGTAAGACATGCTCAACATGTTAAACATGAGCGCTGTTTGTGCAGTACATTTGCGCAGAGCGCAGTACTGACGCGTGAACACCTGCACTACTGATAAATTGAAGTGAAATTAAAGTGTGTGTGTTGGCTTATTGACGCGCGGGCATTTAATGAAAGGGGACCGAAAGTGGGCACCGAGCGAACTTTAGTTTTTTTTTTTAATACCAGTTTTTTTAGTACTTACCAGTACTTACCGGGCCTTTTCGGTCGTGATGCTACTTGAAACAGAGTTTCGATACCCAACGCTATCTGCGCAGACTATAGGGCTCGTGCAAGTCCAGTTCTATGGTGTAACTGGCACTAAAATATTTGGAATGTGAAATGTGCAAGTGAAAGTCAGTTTTCTAACCTGTGGGCGAGGGTCCAAGGGAAGAACTTATAACGGCTATATATTTGTGAAGCTCATGAAGCCAAAATTTACTTTAAACATACAGAAAGTAAATCAGAAGTAATGCAAAGTAGTGTAACTCCATTACAATATGAGGGACAATACTGCATTACAAAATGTTACACTGCAAAAGGCAATATGTATCACAGTTTCAGATTAACTTGCTCATTGGTCCCAGCATGGTCCCAGATGACAGCAACCAGGACTATAGATGTTCTGTCATATTTATCTAATATCACATTAGTTCTAGTTGTCACCTGCCCATATGGGTCTGACAACCTGAGACACGTTGAGGCACTCTTAGATCTCTGAGTGGAAACAAGAGAGAACAATTTAATGAGAAGACCAATGATAAATAATTTCATCTCATATACATACAAATTTGACACACTTTTTCATTTATGCTCTTTTTTTTCCCTCCATATTTACACTGTGGAGTGTAGTATGAAATGTTTTAACTTGTTTTATATTTTGAGGATCTGCCCACACCTAACACCATGTCTTTGGTCATGTTATGTTGGTTTCATATGTTATTGCATGTTTATGATGGTTTCTACAATTATTTTAACTATTCATCCTGAGACAAAAGGACAGAAAGACTCTGGAGGTCGATAAAGATAGGTGGAGATAGATTTCTAAAAATATTGATATATATGTGCCAAAATAACTGTAAAATCCAAATAAATGTCAAAAATGACAAAGATGGTCATGATTTGGTCTCGATGGGCTGTGGTCTTGGTCTCGACCCTCAGAGGTCTTGGTCTTGTCCTGGTCTCAGGACCCTGAGGTCTCGGACAGGTCTTGGCCTCAATTAATGTAGTCTTGACTAGAACTCTAGCACAGGCATATAAAAACTTTTTTTTTCATATGAATACCAACATAACATGACCACAATGACTAAAATGGTTTGAGAGAGTGGGGCAGAATCTCAAAATATATAAAACAAGTTAAAATCATTTTCATACTACACTCCACAGTGTAAATATGGAGGGAAAAAAAAGAAGCATAAATGAAAAAGTGTGTCCAAATTTGTATGTATATGAGATGAAAATTATTATCATTGGTCTTCTCATTAAATTGTTCTCTCTTGTTTCCACTCAGAGATCTAAGAGTGCCTCAACGTGTCTCAGGTTGTCAGACCCATATGGGCAGGTGACAACTAGAACTAATGTGATTATAGATAAATATGACAGAACATCTATAGTCCTGGTTGCTGTCATCTGGGACCAGTGCTGGGACCAATGAGCAAGTTAATCTGAAACTGTGATACATATTGCCTTTTGCAGTGTAACATTTTGTAATGCAGTATTGTCCCTCATATGTAATGGAGTTACACTACTTTGCATTACTTCTGATTTACTTTCTGTATGTTTAAAGTAAATTTTGGCTTCATGAGCTTCACAAATATATAGCCTTATAAGTTCTTCCCTTGGACCCTCGCCCACAGGTTAAGAAAACTGACTTTCACTTGCACATTTCACATTCCAAATATTTTAGTGCCAGTAACACCATAGAACTGGACTTGCACGAGCCTATAGTCTGCGCAGATAGCGTTGGGTATCGAAACTCTGTTTCAAGTAGGCATCGACCGAAAAGGCCCGGTAAGTACTGGTAAGTACTAAAAAACTGGTATTAAAAAAAACTAAAGTTCGCTCGGTGCCCACTTTCGGTCCCTTTCATTAAATGCCCGCGTCAATAAGCCAACACACACTTTAATTTCACTTCAATTTATCAGTAGTGCAGGTGTTCACGCGTCAGTACTGCGCTCTGCGCAAATGTACTGCACAAACAGCGCTCATGTTTAACATGTTGAGCATGTCTTACATATGTCCAAACTAAGTGCAGTGTGTCTCTTACCGGTAAAAACAGAAGAGCTGAAGAAACAAGGTGCAGCGTGAAACTTGTATCCACCCGAAAACACCCAGTCTCCAGTGCGGGGCGTTTTATAGTGTCTCAAAACCAAAGTGCGTAATAATAAATCCACATCCAGTCCACATTTAAGCCAAACATAATATGAACCAAAACTCCGCAAAAACCCTGCTCCTCATTGGTAAATATATCCAGCGTGGAGCGCGTGTGCGTAAAGATGTATCCAAACGAATCTGCCTAAAGTTCTCCATAATTCTCCTCCGTCCTCCTCCGAGTAGCAAAAGCGTAAAGTTATTAATCAAAGTAAGAGCACATGCTCCATGCGCTGCCTTTTATATAAAGTGCAGAAAACGAGAAACAAAAGCGAAACTTAAGCGCAGGTCAGTCTTCGTGACAATCAGTTGTGCGTTTATTTGCGTGCGCATTTGGAGTTATATACCTGAACCGTGTATGTAGTAGCCTACTCTGTTTTAAAATATGAATTAACATAGATATAAAGTTATTCAATGACTGAAAAGTATTTTCTTAATAATATTGGCCATTAATTTGCATAAAAACATAAATTGTAACTATACCCTTTGCGCACTTATAAAGAAAACTACTACATATCTCGGTCCTCTACTGTGGAGTTAGTTTGGACTGCTTAAATTTAGGTCCTTGTTCGCGCTTCTCGTCGCTGCGTAATAGGTTAAGAAAACACGGGATTTACGCGCGTGGCACTGGAGCGACGCACTGGAGGCGCACAGGTAGGACTGTTCTCTATGAATGGATCTCATTACGATGTGGGAGTGTGCACGTACAGGGCTCCATGAGGACTGAAGTAGAGAAGCAGGTTTAATGTCACGCGGCGTGGTCCTCCGGTGACACACGCCCCGCTCACAGAGCGCACGTATCGCTTGGAGACGCCCCGGTACCGTCCCAGTGAATGTTATTCCCAAAAGCACGGGCTATAATAATAACCTATGCATTTTAACTAATTACTGAGATTAATGAGTAGGCTTGGTAAATATATGGCACATTTTTGGAGTTTGGTTTAACCCTGAGTTCGCTTTTCATTCCGACGCGTCATGAAGCTGCCTAGATATGTGAGATGTGACGGTAGAATGAGAGACAAAACAAAAAGGGTGGAGTAGCGCGGTCCGCACTAAGGGACATTTTTGATTGACTGGGCAAAGATTGTGGTGCAGGAGGCAGCGTAATACTACGTCCGTTTTATTTAAGATGCCTACAGTCAGTGGGAAAGACAAAACATTGACTGTGATGCGCACAGCAGCGCGCATGAAGTGAGCACTTGTCACCGCGGCCGTTTTTCGTGGCAGTCCAAAAGGTTGGACTTATCTGTTCCTTTCACGGAAATGAAAAAAAATGCGTTATGAACGGACAACCCGTCGCTTTGTTTATCAACCAAATAAATAGTTATTATTACTGGGGGACTAGATTTGTGTCGCTTTATTTTCACTTGCCCGCTCGGCAACTGGCAGAGGAGAGTACTTGCCCGGACAAAAGTTTTAGTTGCCCCGGACCAGCGGACAACCGTTAATGTCGAGCCCAGGACATGATTAAGGGTGTGATTATCACACTGTTTTCTTATTTGTAATGTAAATTCTAATGTTTCAGACACATCGCTGAAGTTGTGCTTTGTTTCATTCACACATGTTTAGCACACAAATCCTGCGTATTTAGGCTGAGTTCATTTCTCAAACAGAAGACACTGCTCTAACTGTCATATCATATACTCAGCTGTGTTTTTAAATTCTATACACGTTCACTAGAATCATTTGGAATATTTCAGGCATGGTCAATCTTAACTGAACAAAAGGTAAACTGTAGCTGTTAACTTGAAATAAAGGGTTACCCAGACATGTGTAAATGAAACTAAACATAGAAACTAGACTGATATCTGTCTATATAAAAACAACAGTTTATGACAGTGAACCTCTCATCCATCGTGCCCTTGGACTTCTAATCAAACAGAGAAGTTGTGGCCCCAATTGCCAACAAAATAATTCAATATTTCTAGATTTCTGGTTTAATTTTCATCCAACATGGAACATTTCCTTGTCTCTCTGTACTTTCCAGATAACACAGAAAGCACACATGGCACTGCTCAAGAGTTTTGGTGCTGTCACTGTGCCCAGAACCAACAGAGCCTGTTTCAGCAGCAGAACCCTGGTTTGGAGCAGCAGTCTGGGGCTCCTGGACAGTCTGGGGCCCCTGGAGAATTTGGAGCCCAAACGCATGTCCTAGGTTTGAATAGAGAGCTGCTAGAATGGACTCTCAGCATGTGTGACCTGTCTGAACCTGCGGGGGCAGCAGAGCACTTTATACAGGTAGAACATTGTATTGGAGCTACACAGTCTCATCTACTTTGAAGTCCACTCTGGTTTGGAAGTAAATTTTCCATTCATTTCAGATTGAAATTTTGGAAAAATCCAAATATTCAGAGTTTAAAGGCATTGTGGAGGCTAACCAACATAGGAGTTTATAGAAAAATGTTTCAGAAGTTGATTAACATTCTCTGAGGTTTGAGATGCTAACTTGAGACACAGCTCTGAAGCTCTGTTACTCGAGTTAGACATTTATCTGAGCTTGTT